CCTTATTCCATTCCATTACTCTGCTCTACTTCTCCTCCTTTTCCTCTGTTGAGGGAAACTGTGGGTGTAATGGGTTGCTCATGTGCGTAAGAGGAGTATATTTATATAGCGAGCAGTCTGAGGCCTCTTCCCTGTGTTCCTGGATAGCGACTAGATTCCATTGGTGGGAATATAAAGATCATGGTAGAGTCAGTGAAAGTATCCCCTTCCTCAATTTGTTGTGTAGGATATATAGGAAACAAAAATAAATCTCTTGGAGGCTCATAAAAACTTAATTTCTTACTCTGCTTTTGTCCTTCTTGGCCAGTCTTTGCAGGTCCCCCACCATAAATCAATCAACATACACACTGTATATGACAGACATACACAGAGAGGTAGAGTCAGGAAAGATTGTTTTAAACATGAGCTCATGGAGGTAGAGAGGACATGGGTATTTGCTTCTGCTGTGGTGTGATGTACATATTTCAAAGAAAAATATGAATGCTCTCTGGCAGCACTTACGCTGGCTGCGGAAATGTGTCCAGCAGACATTGAATATACACACACGCGGGCTGTAGCCTGCTGCCAATAATAAGACTTGTTTAATGAGTCTCATCGCTTTGTTGATTTCAGTCTCAGGGCTTTGTTGTTCTTGTGAATCGCACTCACTGAGGCCGGAATTAATCTTCACTGAGTGTATACATAAGGCGTCCAAGGCAGCGTTGTTAACTGGGAGTTGTCATGCGACAATGTTTGGTTCAAGTTTGGAGAAGTCTTGTTTGGTTCAATGCGTCATTGGTCATCTTGTTTCCAGGTCTGATGTTTATAGCACAGGGGTAGACCCTTTTTTATGTCACCTCTGCTTACTTCTTCTCCCAGCCTTCTCGTTTCATCCATCAAAATATTTCCCTCTGCTTCTTGGTGTCCTCCTTTTAACTCCTGCAGCAAACTTGCCTCCTGTAGCTTGAATTTCAAGTGTTGCTGCAAAACAGAAGCAGAAAGGGGTGGATTTTAATCAGGGAGTTGCTGTTTTTTGAAGCTTTTGTTGTAGTAAAATTGATAATGAACTATAGAAAATGGAGCATGACACATCTTTTAACACCATGCACCTTTTTATAGTATAGTGGTTTATCCTTATTTAGTATCTGCCTAAATAAGGGTGCGTCTCAATAAATGGTATCATTGTAAAAATGTAATTGGATTCAAAAAGCAAGACTCAAATAAGGCTTACCTCAAAAATAAGAACATGTGCTTTGGGGAAACTACTACTTTTGAATAAAACTTCTAAAATAGAAAAATATATTTGACACCAAAGGTGACATATACAAATGATAAAAATCATAAATGGGTTATACAAATACTTTTTCTGCTGAAGGCTATGATTGCTATTGGAAAGAATGATTTTTTTTTTTCTTTTTTATGTGTGTCTGTGTATTGCTTTGCTGGCCAGTAGGACTTTGTATCTCTGACCCAGAGACTGTGTGACAGAAGGAATCATAAAGTTCCTCTGAGATGGAGATACCTTTACTGATCACAGTGCGCTTTGACAGATGGGCCTCTGAAGTTTGTGATGAAGCAGTTCCTTGCTTTGTTTGCTCTATGTAGGAGCTTTGTGTTATGTTTGTGAGTGATAAAGTTGTACCGAACTGTATAATTGGAGGCAAGAACGGATTCTATGGGTGAGTGGTGAACCATGATTGAAATCTTTTTGCTAAGCTTAAAGTCACATGAAGATGGAAGGCCTGGAGGACATTATTATAAATTATTATTATTATTATTTGAAAGGACCTTCAGGTGTACATCTGTGTTCCCAAGATACCTATGACATTGTACCTGGTTAATTTGCTTTCCATGAATAATCAGATACCTTTGAAACAACTGTTTGCATCCCATGAATGGGACTATTGCAAGGACCGCTTACTGTACTTGTATACTGAGCAGCAGAGTGAACGACATTTTTGCTACTGATTCTTATTTGCTGCTGTTTATTGGATTTCATAATTTTAGTTTTGAAGGAATTTGAGAGCATGACATTTTTGAGTCATTCATTTATCATTCAGGGTCCTAAGTAGGAACCTTGCACACACCCATAACACCCTGATACCTCCTCCTCATTGTGACAGTCTGAGGTTGAAGCGGACTCATGTTGGTCATCAGTTTTGTCCAAGTGTGCTCTGAGATGGGATTGTTGCAACTTAGCAAATATAGTTGTGCTTTTCAGTCTGGCACAAATGGCAAGCTGATACCACAGATTAAAATGATCTGAGATCTTTTGAGACTTTTCCATTCTCCCCACTTCTAGATTCTGGAAATAGTCTCTGCTGAACTCTTCCTCCTGGAGGGGACTGTTAACATTTTGTAGGATATAGTTCGATCCCAGGATGTGAAGATACTGGATTGCCGAATCTTACCTCCCGGCATTGAGGTTAACTAGTTTTCAAGTGACGGATGTACCTCCCCACATCATCACACAGCCTCTACCAAAAGCTGCTACCCTATTGGTACCATAATTTGTGTAATTCATTTCATTTTAATGACAAAAACACAACAATTAAAAACATTAAAAACCCTAATCCTTAAAAAAATAAACAAAATAAAGTATACAAGATTTTTTTTTTTGTTGAAATTCTAAATACAAAGTTCATAGTTGTGGGGTCACAGATTTGGTTTTGGTTCACTTTTTTTGTCAACATTCCACAAATGCCATAATCAGCCTTAAATTATCCACCATTTATGGTTTACAAAATGCTTTATTCTCAAGGGCATGTCATGTTTTCTTGTAAAAACAGAAGGAATGTGACAGTTTGGCATTAGGCACATCATTGTGACAGGCTGAGGTTAAAGCTGGCTGTGATTTTTATATATGCTAAATGAGGAGATGTTGCTAATTTCAAAATGCTTTTAATTTCCTTGGCAAAAAAGAGTTTGCAAAGCTTTACCTAATTTTTTTTGTTTTTGTGTTTTTTTGCTTTGAGCTTTACTAGATAAGCACTCTTTAAAACCAAACTATTCATGGCTTTGAAGAATATGGAGACAGAAACGACTCAGATTCACAGGCTGTTTTGAGTCTGACAACTAGTTATAAAGATAATTTGGTAATGGGACCGGGCAAAAACATATGCTGTAATTTCTTCTATTCTGCAATTTTCCAAATAAAAAAGGAACAATTTCAAATTTGTTGTCAAACATTACTGCACAAAATGTCTGAAGATGAAACTTGGATGACTTCCGACTAAACATGTATAGATACATATACATTTCAGATACTGCGCAATTGTCTGAACTGTACTCTACGACCTACAAAACCCACGCCGTTGTCCAGGGGCATGTAGTGGGATCTGGCCTTTCAATATTTCTAGAGTAAACAAAAGCTTGCATCTCTGTGTCTCCCACGTTAGGAATTAAAACATGCTGCATGCAATTATATGCATGTTTCTTTTGGTATTTTGGGGGTTGGAGACAAAGTAACATTCAGATTAGAGTGCACCATTCTTTGACGCCTACACACTGACCCCAAGCGAAAATATTTCATATATTCAAGTCGAACAGTTGATTGACAGATGTGTTCACTGAAGCAATTAATTTTTTTTTGGTGGTGGGCCACTCTAAAGTTGTTGAAAAGTTTATGACTCGCATACAGATTTTTGAGTGTCAGTGTTAAGCTGAAGCTGCTGGTGTAAAATCTGTTGTTTGTGATCTTTAATCCCTTTGGTGTATTTTGTGATCATTAACATTTTGCATGAAATACCAACACAGTATTGTTGACATGTTTATATGACGTAAAAATGTCACATAAAAGTGCTACCAAAGATTTAAACAAACTTTATGAAGTTGTTCTCGAAAGTCTAAATAACCCCTGTTTTGTGATTGGTAAGACCGTAATGCATAATTTCAAAAACTTTCTTTGCATATGTGCAGTTATTCCATTCAATATCACTGAAAATAGGTGCAATAATCCAGCTGCTCCATAAATCTGCACAACTTTATGTTTGTTCAGTTTTGGATATTTGCTTTAGATAGTTTTTGAGAAACATCAAGGTTTTGTAAAGTCACTGTGTTATTGCATTTTCATAATTGGACATTTTTGCACCCATCTGCTGACAGATACCATTGTATTATAATGTATCAGTTTTATCCTTGATAACTTCTCGACCAACTATTACTTTAGCTAATAGCTCATAAAAATCCTACCAGAACATCTGAACATTATTCAAGGGGCTTCAGATTCCATTTCGTTGATGTCAGGTCTGACCTTAAGAAGGAGGTGCTTCGTTAAGCACTAGTTTAATGGGTGCACACACTTTTGCAACCAGGCAATAGCACCTTTTTTATATTTTCTACATTCCCTTTCCAACAGTTTGTTTGTCAGATGAATTGTACTTCATAAATGTCACAAAATGTGGAAAATTTTGTTTTTAATTATTTTAAAATGGGCTTGTTTTGGGGGAGGGGGTTTGTTGTTGTTTTTGTCACAAAAACGCGTATGGGTGTGTGTACTTTTAGAGGTCCAATGCGATTGATGAAACTTGTCGGTGTAGCTCTTGTTGCCAGGTGTACTTGGAAGAAACTGAGTGATATAATAGGTGTGTGCATACCTGCACTGTATGGCCTCTTATCTTTTATTTAGCATTGTGCATGTGTGTGTACTGTACTCTATAGCACCCTGACACAGACTACAGTTGGGCCAGTGATGCATTAGCTATGGCCAGAGATGGGTTGGTATGGAATAAATAATGGATACCATCCTTTCCCTCTAAATAAATCAGGACCAGAGAAATGGAGAGAGATGAGAGATTAAATGTGGGAGAGATTTGGAGACATTCAATGCCAGATATAAAGGGAGGATTTGTGTAACTGGAAGAAGGATATAGCAGCAGAAATAGTGTCCTGAGTTCCAGCTGGGTATCTCATTTCTCTTGTTCGTGTTTTATTAATTGACATTCAGTAGAAAACTGAAGTGTAGCTGTTGTTATTAAGTAAAAAAAAAAAAGCAAAACATTCACAGATTATTTTATTCCCAGGCACAAGGTCAGACATTCACCTTCCCCGACATCTTCCCAGAAAAGGACTGGACGCCGAAGGAGGGCTCCATGGAAGAAATGCAGGAGAAGTTCCTGGAGGACGAGAAGCAGAGGCAGAAACTCGACCCCAGGAGAGGAGGGGTCACCGAGTGGTTTGGACTCTGAACCAGGGGGCCCTTGGAGCAACGTGTATTGATTTGAAATGCAACCTCTGTGATGTCACTTTTATTTCACTGCTGAAACACGAGCGCGTAGCGAAAAAGAGCAAGTGTGTGTGTGTGTGTGTGGGATATGGCAGACATAAGTTCAGTGTGTTTGTGAGGTCGGAGTCCAAGAACCAAAAGACAAGAGGAATTGGAGAAGGAGGCTTTGTCTTTAATGACACAAGCCCACCACACACATTGTCCATCACCTCAGATAACCCCCTCTTCTTTCTCGTCCTCATGTTCTTCCCATACATATGTCACATTTGTTTCTTTTCGTTTTTTGTTTTGTCGAAGTATCCTTCTTATCTGTCAACCCTGTTGTCTCACTTCTCTTCATCTTCCTGCGAGATACTTGATCCTCAGCCCCAGCAGAAAGCAGCAACTGTGTGTGTGTGTATATATATATATATATATATATATATATATATATATATATATATTCCCAGCTGGTTGGATCCAACTGCCTGAACTGTCACATCATTTCCTTGTCTTGGATTAATTACCTAGATTTGGTAAACAAAAGATGGGATGTTGTTTCAGAAAGCAGATATGTGCAGTTTGCAGTGGCATCATTATATTTTGTGGTAACAACTATTGCCGTGACCATAAATAAAGCCTTTACCCGATGTTTGTGTATGTGTGTTTAAATGTTAAAGTTGTTTTCATAGGAACTGTTAAACAGTCACCTTTCCAAAAGCACTCTGCCTGCTCTCTCACTGATGCCGTGCTGAGAAACTGGCACTTTGAGAAGCTGTTTGCAGTGCAAGCTGGCCTTCGCAAGTGCCAATGTGGTCTGGTAGCTGTTTTGACAAAGTAATGATCTGTGTTTTGAATCGGGCCAGTGAAGGACTGAGTTCTCTTACCGTAATAAAGCCCATAAAGCGGAGGGTGGGGAGACCTCTTCTGGGCTCATTCAGACCCTCCATTATGCTCAGAGGCCAAAGCTACAGTAAGTGTCCCCCAGCCATGACCGCTAATGTCGGCTGGCTAACAGAAAGGTCCGGTCCCTGACCTCATCCAGCCAACTCATCTATCACTAAGGAGAATGTCAATATTGATCCTGTTGGCCCATTGTCTGCTGCCTGGAACCACTGAATCCTCCCCCATCCTCCACTGTTACTATAAAGCAATCAGATTTTGAACAAAACAAGCTTCTTGTTTCACCATTAGTCTGTTCCTTTTCTCTCTTCCTCCATCTCGTCTGTTGCCTAGCTTTGAACCTGTGAGAAACAGCTGAAAAACCAACTAAGGTGGGAGACCAAATTCATTTTGTTTCACACCTCCTGGCCTGAACAGACCCCTTTATGATAGTTGGATAATCAAGTTCTGATGTTTGCCAAGCCATAATCTTTCCCTGTTGTCCTCTTGATCTTTGTGCTGGGGATACCCTGTTCCTCTTAAAACCAGCATCACATACCTACCACAATTGTTTCTCATTAAACTCTTGATTAAATCACTTCTTTTTTAAAGCCTGTTAGGAGTTTTGGTTGTGTAGCGTTTTGCGTAAATTATTTTACTGCTTTGCGATTAAAAAAATAAAAATAAAAACAACTACAGTTTTTTCAGACACACTTTGTTAATGATCTAATGTCTTGACTAAATGGGTACAACACAAGGAATGGGAAAACAATTTGATGTCGGAGTGAAACAACAGAGATGAGTCAAGTTTGCTTGAATTGTATGAGAGAGACTAACATAAACCCTAGTCTGATGGGGCAGGAAAAGGATGCAGGATTCATATTTGCATTGCAAAGAAAAATAATAAAAAGAAATAAGTGAACTTCGAGCACAGATGAAACCAGAAATTTACATATGCAATATAAAAAGACTATATGCTTTGCTTTCACATTGTCTTAAGTGAAATCACAATGAAGTTTACTGCTTTAGGTCAGTGAAGATATCAATTTTTTTCCCATTTGGTAAATACCAGAATAATGAGAAAGAGACTTTTTAAGGCAATTTATATTACTTTCTTTAAAGTAAAAAGTTTAAGTACACGTAATTAGTATTTGGCACCGTTGCCCTTAAACTATATAACTCTTGGATATCCCTCCACAAGCTTCTCACGATAGTCGGCAGATTTTTTTTTTTTTTTTTTTTTTTGCCCGTCTCTCCTCATAGAAGTGGTAGAACTGAACCTCGTTTGTAGCTCCCACATGCCTTTTCAATTTAAAAGCTGAGGTGCCTTTACAGCTTTTAAATTTGAGATAGGATCGAGATCAGGGCTTTGTGAAGGTCACTCCATTGACCTTGTTATCCTTAAACTACTTTGCGACCAGTTCAGCAGTAGTCTTCGATTCTTCATTTGGAAGACACATTTCTGCCCAAGATGTAACTTCCTGGCTGTTGTTTTGTTAAAAATTAATTTACCAAAAACGGGAAACCCTTAATCTGATTTCACATCAGACAGCGTGGGGAAAAAACAAAATACTATTAGGGCTGAAACTCGAATGATCTCGATTATTAAAATTTTTATTTTTTTTTCGATTATTAAAATTCCTCGATTAAAAATGTATCCGCCTCGAAGCTTCGTTAAGTTACGTTTCACTATTTAATGCGCCGCTCTCGCTTCCGCCCGAGTTGTTGGCGAAAGCTAAGCGTCAGCGGCACAAAGTCCAATCTTCAAGTTCGGCCTGGCAGGATTTTACCTCTTGGTGATGATGTCCAGGTTTCTGGGGACCAATAAGCGTCCTTACAATGACGGGATGGAAGGGATAATTTATACAGGTGAGCGGACAGACTGGACTCTGGGGGCGGCTGTGCTTTAAATGCGTAGCTTTACCGACTAGCCGGAAAGTGAATTTCACATCATCCCGTTCAGCAACAACGTGCGGCGGCGCGCATCGTGACGGTACGTAGCCGGTCGTGTTTCTATGACGTGTGCAGTTGTCAAATCCCGTCGCTATATGCGCGAGCGATAAGGAGAGTTCATCAGTTAAATTGAATACATAAACCAAAAGCTGGAGTAGCCTATAGACTTTTCTTTTTTTACAAATGTATTTGTGAGCCTGCCTCTTTGCTATTGAACTGAATATAATTTCAGATTTTTGCACAACTTTTCTTCAGGTTAATTTAGAATAATGAGTTATGATTTCAATATTATTAACTTTGTTATGTTAACAATAACTTTGTTAATTAAGTTATTGTTAGGGAAGCTCAAATGTGGAAATATTGCACTGATGTTGATATCTGATAGTAGCACTGCTGTTATGTTAGATTTACCAATGTTTTATTTTTATTTTTTTTTTAAATCCGATTACTTGATTAATCATAAGAATAATCAATAGATTACCAGATTACTAAGATATTATTTTTCAAAAGCCCTAAAATAAATATGTCTTATTATGTGGACTTATGGTCTGAATATGTTCATCCCACCTGGGGAAAAAAAACTTGTAAAGCCACTTTTGGGTGCAGTAACAAGGACAAGACATTTGGTCTATGCCTTTTATTAGCTTCTGTTGAAATTAACTCTAGCTCTGATTGGTTGGAAGCATCTGTGAATAGCAATTTTGAAATCTGGTTCTACAATTCATTACATTGCTCACTGACAGCAGAAACTTCTCAAAGTGTCTGGTCACATGTGTTTTTCTTCTTCTTGGGAATGTACCTACATCAGCTGGGAAAGTTTGTTTGCGCTGAGCACTTAAGGACAAGTGCTTTGGCAACCTCCGCCAATATCGAGAGGGATTTTCCGAAATACTTCATTTGATTGAGGGTCAGTTCCTTCTCTCTGTGGAAACGAGGTATACAACAGAGCAGCAAGCTCCAAATAGCACTAAAATAACAGAAAAGCTTATTTTAGATATGAATTTTGTGTGTTGATAAGATCCTGGTCATTGTGTCTTCTTTGTCTGTGTGCTATATCTGCCTCGTTGAGGATGTAATTGGACAGATTGTAAATATTGCAATAACACCATTGTGATGCATTCATTTGAATTCATGGTTCTGCAGGTTTATCGTCTTCATTCTCCTGCTCTGGGTCAGACTCCGGCTCCAACACGTAAGGTCGGATGGACAAGTTGTTGTTGGCATCTTTAATAAACTTGATAGATAATTGTATTGCTGCTGTGAAACTACAAAAATGGGCGAACAGGGTGGAGTCAAAAGCGCTGAGAACTGCAGGGGGGCGGGGCGTGAAATGTTTCATCAATATTTCAAAAGACGCAGTAAAGCGAGTTGCTCTAAAATGAGGACGTCTGTGGAGCTACAATAATAATAAATTTTGACTGCATATTGCAGTTCTACTTTATATAACCTGTAAGTAAATGGTTTATATGTTAAGCATTAAAAACTTAACATATTAGCTTCAGACAGTGAGAAATGAAACTGTCCTTTTTACTTTTAGTCCCTTTTATTTGCAGATGTGGAATATCACAATGTCCTGCAAACCCGAGTTATACACTGAATTTTAAATGTATTTATTTTTTTGACATTCTCCGAAGAGGTTTTTATGCCTCGTCATCCTTGCGTCTTTGCAAGCCACATGAAAAGCTGTGGACACCAAAACAGACCCGTTCTGCGTCCGTGTTTATTTATGGAGCGTTCTTGTCTGTGAAAGACAAGTAGGCGTGCCGTGCACTTCCTATTTCAACCAAACTAAAAATAAGTGCACGGAGCTCCTGATTTATATTTGATCTCTGTTTGGAGAATACCGCCATATTGTTATGCACCACACGTTGTGTAATTGCAGAGGAGAGGAAGAGCGAGCTTGTTTCGTGCAAGATGCGGAAAGCTCAGGAAGGCCGCAGTGAGAAAGCAGGAGGTGAGGGAGTTAGATGACATCACTGAGAAAATGCTGAGCTGGATTTAAGGGCTACTGGATAAAACAGGTCTGATCCCACAGTGCTACCACCCCACAGCCCCCCACACCCTTCTACCTCCATCTCCTTTCACTTTCTCTTGAGACGTACAGTGCGGGTAGTGTTCTCTTCCCTACATGATGAGTTAATGGAAGGGGGGTTGAATATTTTAAACGGTGCTTCACTCTCATCCTTCCTCTCCTTGCTCGTCTGTCTTTTTTCTCTCTCTCCTCCTTCAGCTGTGCATTAGTAGAGTGCACACATGACCCTGTTTCTGTCACTGCAGTCCACTTTTGGAATCTGCATGACATCATTTTGTATTTTTGGGATGAGCAGCGGTACAGTGAGTGTCTGTTCTGCCTCTGCAGCTGAGGGAGGCTGCAGATCTCTTCTGTTTTGTTTTTTTTTTGTTTTTTTTTTTTTTTGCTGGCTGTAATAACAGCCTTCTTTAAAGGTCTGCGCCTACAGCTGGTTGTCTGCATCAAATAGCTGTTAAAGACTTTACTATATTCAAAACGGACACAAGTTGACTTATTCACTTTTTTTTTTAACCAAAAAGGAAGGACAAACGGAAAAACTTCAACACATTTCTTTGCACACTCTGTAAAGTTACATGTACACATACAGTAAGACCATTATTTCTCCTACCAGACCGTTGTGCAGATGCACAGACTCTCACACACTCACTTCTGTTCTCTAAGACAACCGGGATTGCCTGCTGAGGATTCTGACGGCCTCTCTTGGACTATCGCCATACGCATTCCTCCTTCCCCAGGTTGCCGTTGGTTCATCTGAGCTCAGCCAGTGCACTCTGTCACCCCATA